GTGTGTGTGATGGTGGTGTGTGTTGTGTGTGTGTGTGTGGGTGTGTGTGTGTGGTGTGTGTGTGGTGGTGTGTGTGTGTGGTTGTGTGTGTGTGTGTGTGTGTGGTGTGTTGTGTGGTGTGTGTGTGTGTGTGTGTGTGTGTGTGGTGTGTGTGTGTGTGTGTGTGTGTGTGTGTGTGTGTGGTGTGGTGTGTGTGTGTGTGTGTGTGTGTGGTGTGTGTGTGTGGTGTGTTGTGTGGGTGTGTGTGTGTGTGTGTGTGTGTGGTGTGTGTGTGTGTGTTGTGTGGTGTGTGTGTGTGTGTGTGTGGTGTGTGTGTGTGTGTGTGTGTGTGTGGTGTGTGTGTGTGTGTGTGTGTGTGTGTGTGGTGTTGTGTGTGTGTGTGTGTGTGGTGTGTGGTGTGTGTGTGTGGTGTGTGTGTGGTGTGGTGTGTGTGTGTGTGTGGTGTGTGTGTGTGTGTGTGGTGTGTGTGTGTGTGGGGGTGTGTGGGTGTGTGTGTGGTGTGGGTGTGTTGTGTGATGTGTGTGTGGTGGTGTGTGTGTGTGGTGGTGTGTGTGGTGTGTGTGGTGTGTGTGGTGTGTGTGTGGTGTGTGTGGTGTGTGTGGTGTGTGTGGTGTGTGTGGTGTGTGGGTGTGTGTGGTGTTGTGGTGTGTGTGGTGTGTTGGTGTGTGTGTGGTGGTGTGTGGTGTGTGTGTGTGTGTGTGTGTGTGTGGTGTGTGTGTGTGTGTGTGTGTGTGTGTGTGTGTGTGTGGGGGTGTGTGTGTGTGTGGTGGGGTGTGTGTGTGTGTGGGGTGTGTGTGGTGTGTGTGTGTGTGTGTGTGTGTGTGTGTTGCTGCTGTTACTACTTAACTTGTCTGTTGCACTCTGTGTCATCAATCACATACACGCATAAATTCTAAGGTCTTCAAAATGACCGCGATTGGCCTACATCAAGAGAAAGTAAGTCTGGCCAAGACGTGTGTGCAATATAAAAAAATTGTGTTGTGTTAGGGCAATGTGGGAACCAAAAAATAATCATTTCCTTAGTACTATTGAATGATAAATAAAAACTGTCATACTACAGTAAACCGTCAATATAATGGACTTCAAAATTATAAGCAAAATCCACTGGTTAAATTGTACTTTTAATTCCTTTATTTTTAATGTTTATTGCAGGTACAATTAAATTGTGTACACTATTGTATTAGGTATACACTAGAGCACTTTGATGCACTTTTTTCCTATTTTTAACATGATTTCTATATAACAGACACCCTGTGTTAGTTAGTTATATTGAAGATTTACTTTAAGAAAACATGAATAGGTCACCTTCATATCTCCATAAGTACTACTACAATTTTACTCAAATGCAAAGTTATTTAGATTGGGGAAGGGGTCGGAAGACTAGACATGGAGTAAAGATTATGAGAACAGAAGCTGCAGACCTCACCCAAAGAGAAAGATCTAGAGGGTAGCATATTGCCTAGAATATCGTCAGAGGATTTCCTCAACCGAATAACCTCTGCAGCCAATACTCGTCTGGGAAATTTAACCCTTTCAGGGTCCGTCCCGTAGATCTACGGCTTTACGTTCAGGGTCCAAACCGTAGATCTACGCCATGAGCTCAGCTCACTCTGATAAACTGTGAGTGGTACATTTGGGCCTAGATATGAGAGAATACATCTATGTGGTATGTGTGCACCACATAAAACAGATCCTGCAGCACACTGTGTATAATGAGAGAAAAAAAATGAAATCATGATTTTTCGATTAAAACAGCAACTTTGCAGTGTTTTTTCGTATGTTTTTTATAGTTGTATTTGCGATTTCTTGGTCTCATTTGATAGAATGGAAGACATATTACAGAAATAGAGATGATTTTGATTGGTTTTAGCACTGGAAATGGCTTGAAACTGAGCTCAAAGTAGCAGAAATGTTAATTTTTTGCCGATATTCAAGAGTAAACAAACCACCTCACATGTCTAACGCACGTCAGCTGGTGGGTCTAATATACATTCACAAATATGGTGATGATATTTATACAATTATTACAGTATTGCATAACAGTAAATCTTCTATTTTTTGGTGTGAATAAAAATTCATTATGTGAATAAAAAATCAAAATGGAATTTATTTGTAAAGCCTCAAAACATAACTAATGAACAGAGGAAATGTTAGTTTAGTGCCAGGAATGCCTACATTGTTCATTCTGGACCCTATTTTGAAATTGGAATATTTTGAACTTTGTGTTAAATTGGCCAAATTAACAATTTCCGATCACTTTATTTTGTAGTTGAAACAGTTGACTTGGCAATTTCTTGTGCTCAATCGATAGAATAGAAGTAATACTAGTGAAATAGCTAAGAATTTGGTTGATTGGAATAATGTAATTGGCCTAAAATGGGAGTCAAAGTCGGCAAAATCGCTGATTCGTAAATATCGCTGACACATCAAAATTTGCGAGAGCGTAATTTCGTCAATTTTCCACCAAATTTCGTACTTTTTGTTTTATTACCTTCACAAAAAGATTCTCTACGATTTCATAAGAAAAAATAACAAATCTTTTTTTTTGGAAAATTCTTGGACACTGGTGCGTGACTCCAGATTTGGGCCTTGGACCCTGAAAGGGTTAAGGGTGGCCCTTCAGGAATCTCAACAAAGGATCATTCTGGGTATGCACTACAAGGAGAAGCTAACATAATTAAATCAAGACTCACGAAATCGTAATGACACGATTGCAAACAAACCATATCACCAGCGGGATTGAACCCGCGGTCAGAGAGTCTCAAAACTCCAGACTGTCGCGACGGTGTGGAGTTTTGAGACTCTCTGACCGTGGGTTGAATCCCGCCAGTGATATGGTTTAATTAAATCAAATAACACTGGAACACATGACCCAGGGGAGACATGATAACATACAAAATACTCAGAGCAATTGACAGGGATCAGCTGTTTGAGAGGCAGGGAAATAGGTGCTCAGGGTCATAGATGGTAGTTAAAGACACAGATGAGCCACAGGGATGTCAAAGTATTTTTTGCAGTCTCAGGGTGGTTGGGAAGTGGAATGACCTTGACAAAGTGGCCAAGGAAGGCTCCATACAAAGTTTTAAGAGCAAGGTACAATAGGGTCCACAAGGCAGGGAGGGAGTGAATCCAGTAAATGGCAAGTTGAGAGGCGTATGTGACCCCTGTAACCACAAAGGTGAACTCCATGGGAAAGAGAAGAAGAATACTTCCTCTGTAAGCCATGCATGTCATAAGGGCAACTAAAATGCCAGGAGCAAGGCGCTAGTAATCCCTTCTGCTGTATAAATTACTAATTGTAAAAAGAAAAAACTTTCATTTCTTCTTTTTTTGGGTCATCCTGCCTCAGTAAGAGACAGTTGGTGTAAAAAAAAAAATACTGGCGAGTACTGCCAGGCAGTTATTGAGTCACATCTTTACAAATTGTTCAAGCAATCAGATCATGCAGAATTCAATTTCAACATCATTTATGCCCTGATGAGCTCACTTTTAAATGTCCTTACAAAAATCTCCCAACTACAATGCAGACTCACTTTTTGGCTTTTTAACAAAAACTAGACTGTCGCACTAACTTTAACATTAATTTTGTCCCTACAATAACCCCTAACCTTACACATCACACTGCAGCACTATGACTAAGTCCTCTTGCTACCCAGGGCTTGTATGACCATTAATGGGGGTGCTGACCCCCAAGAGTGGAAGCTTCCAACACTTATCTAAGTTTCCCACATTTTAAATATACAGTGGACCCCCGCATAACGATGGCATCGCATAGCGATTTTTCCGCATAACGATTACTTTTATCGCAAAATTTTTGCCCCGCATACCGATTAAAAACCCGCATACCGATTTTCGTCCGAGACGCGTCCAATGTGCCCTCACATGTGCCGGCCGTCCCATTGTTTACCAGCCAGCCTCCGCGGTAACATCCAAGCATACACTCGGAATATTTCGTATTATTACAGTGTTTTCGGTGGTGTTTCTGGAAAATAAGTGACCATGGGCCCCAAGAAAGCTTCTAGTGCCAACCCTGTGGTAAAAAGGGTGAGAATTAGTATGGAAATTAAGAAAGATTTTGAAGGGTTTGGGGCTAACCCTGAGAAGCCTATGCCAGTTGTGGAATCCATTGTGCCTACTTCAAAGATTAAGGAAATGTGTGCAGAGTGGTTTGAACTGCAAACCTTTATAGATGAAAATCACCCTGACACAGCTGTTGCAAGCCGTGCTTGTGACTATTTCAATGACAATGTTATGGCCCATTTTAGGAAAGTCTTGAAGAAACGGGAGGTACAGAGCTCTATGGACAGATTTGTTGTGCGACAGAGGTCCAGTGACTCTGAAGCTGGTCCTAGTGGCATTAAAAGAAGAAGGGAAGTAACCCCAGAAAAGGACTTGCTACCTCAAGTCCTAATGGAAGGGGATTCCCCTTCTAAACAGTAAGAAGATAATGCTCTCCCCCTCCTCCCATCCCATCAATCATCACCAGATCTTCAATAAAAGTAAGTGTCATGTAATTGTGCATGCCTTTTTCAGTTTGTGTGTATTAAAATTAACATTTCATGTGGTAAAAAAAATTTTTTTTCATACTTTTGGGCGTCTTGCACGGATTAATTTTATTTCCATTATTTCTTATGGGGAAAATTAATTCGCATAACGATTATTTCGCATAACGATGAGCCCTCTTGCACGGATTAAAATCGTTAACCGGGGGTCCACTGTAATTTTCCCTTGCTGTCAACACCCCCCCCCCCCACCATGTCTCTGTATGACCTACATGGGTTACTATATATGTATATGGATATTCTTCTTTCAATAAACAAGCCGCATCCCACCAAATACGTATATGGATATACGTGGATAAAATAATAATAATCCTTATGCCTCTTGTCAATCATCTGCTACTGTCACTGAATTTTTGTTTATGAAATTTATTAAGCTGTTCCATACTTGCATTATGCATGAATTAGGGAATTCAAAGTATAAAAGATCAGAGATCTTACCGTGTGAGTGGCACGTGAGGTGAGGGCAGCACTGAAGGAGGGTGGCACCTCAGTGGCTTCATTACCAGCCAAAGCGGTGAGCACTGTGTTGCGGGTGGTACTCACAATCTAGTGCAAGAGAACAAGAATTACCACTAATAACACAACATTACAAATTGTTCCACAAAATATAAATAATTTTTTTTTTATTAACACATCAGCCATTTCCCACCAAGTCTGGGTGGCTCTCAAAAGAAAAACATTCACCATCATTCACTCCATTACTGTCTTGCCAGAGGTGCACTTCCACTACAGTTATAAAACTGCAACATTAACACCCCTTCTTATCATTTACACCTGGTGCCCCAAACTTACCTACCACACCCTCTTTAAATGTTTCTCCTACTTAAGCATTTAGGTCCAGTAACACAGGTACTCTCACTTGGTTCAAAAGTTCCTACACACTTGCCTAACATTTCCCAAAATCTCTCTCTCCTCTACAATCCTCTCTTCTCCAGGTGCATACACACTTATTATGACCCACTGTTGCATATATATACTCACAAATGTATTTCTTCTTTCTTTCAACACACCGGCCGTATCCCACCGAGGCAGGGGTGGCCCAAAAGGAAAAATGAAAGTTTCTCCTTTTACATTTAGTAATATATACAGGAGAAGGGGTTACTAGCCCCTTGCTCCCAGCATTTTAATCGCCTCTTACAACATGCATAGCTTACGGAGGAAGGATTCTGTTCCATTTCCCCATACAAATGTATTTACTTGTTATAATATTTATACCATCAGCAGTGCCTAGTGGCTCATTGGGTCTAGAACTTTATTAGTTTTTTTCTTTACCACATAGGCCATTTCCCACCAGTGTAGGTAATCCAGAAATTGAAACATTCAACATCATTAATTTTTTTTTAACACACTGGATATTTCCCACAAAGGCAGGGTGGCCCTAAAAAGAATAACTTTCACCATCATTCACTCCATCACTGTCTTGCCAGAGGCATGCTTACACTGCAGTTATAAAACTGCAACATTAATACCCCTCCTTCAGAGTGCAAGTACTGTACTTCCCATCTCCAGGACTTGAGTCCAGCCTGCTGGTTTCCCGGAATCCTTCATAAATATTACCCTGCTCACACTCCAGTAGCAGCCTGGAGTTTACCTGGAGAGAGTTCCGGGGGTCAACGCCCCCGCAGCCCGGTCTGTGACCAGGCCTCCTGGTGGGTCAGAGCCTGATCAACCAGGCTGTTGCTGCTGGCTGCACGCAAACCAACGTACGAGCCACAGCCCGGCTGATCAGGAACTGACTTTAGGTGCTTGTCCAGTGCCAGCTTGAAGACTGCCAGGGGTCTGTTGGTAATCCCCCTTATGTGTGCTCTTATCTTACACACTCACGCATGCTTGCTGGAAGTCCAAGGCCTCATATACAAAACCTCCTTTACCCCTTCCCTCCAACCTTTCCTAGGCCGACCTCTACCTTGCCTTCCCTCCACAACAGATTTATACACTCTCAAAGTCATTCTGTTTTGTGCCATCCTCTCTGAAGCACCTCAACAACCCCTCCTCAGCCCTCTGGATAATAGTACTGGTAATTCCGCCTCCTCCTAATTTCCAAACTATGAATTCTCTGCATTATATTCACACCACACATTGCCCTCAGACACGACATCTCCACTGCCTCCAGCCTTCTTCTTGTTGCAGCATTTACTACCCATGCTTCACATCCATATAAGAGCATTGGTATAACTATATTCTCAAACATTCCCTTCTCTGCTTCCCTGGATAAAGTTCTTTGTCTCCATAGACTCCTCGGTACACCACTCCCCTTTTTCCCTCATCAATTCTATGATTTGCATCATCTTTCATAGAACCATCTGCTGACACGTGCACTCCTAAATATCTGAATACATTCACCTCCTCCATACTCTCTCACCCCAACCTATTATCCAATCTTTCGTTACCTAATTTTTTTTATCCTCATCACTTTACTCTTTCCTATACGTATTCACTTTCAATTTTCTTTTTAACATACTCAACCAAACTTGTCCATCAACCTCTGAAACTTCTCTTCAGAATCTCCCAAAAGCACAGTGTCATCAACAAAGAGCAACTGTGACAACTCCCACTTTGCGTTAGATTCTTTATCTTTTAACCCAAAAACTTCTTGCCAACACCCGAGCATTCATTGCACTTACAACCCCATCTATACATATATTGAACCACCATGGAGACATCACATCCTTGTCTAAGGCCCACTTTTACTGAGAAATAATCTCCCTCTCTTCTACATACTCTAACCTGAGCCTCATTATCCTTGTAAAAACTATTTTCAATAACCTACCTCTTATTCCATACATCTGCCACATTGCCCCCCAATCCACCCTGTCATATGCCTTTTCAAAATCCATAAATGCCACAAAAACCTCTTTATTTTATTTTTATTAACACACTGGCCGATTCCCACCAAGGCAGGGTGGCCAGAAAAAGAAAACCTTTCACCACCATTCACTCCATCACTGTCTTGCCAGAAGGGTGTTTTACACTACAGTTTTTAAACTGCAACATTAACACCCCTCCTTCAGAGTGCAGGCACTGTACTTCCCATCTCCAGGACTGCCTGCCGGTTTCCCTGAATCCCTTCATAAATGTTACTTTGCTCACACTCCAACAGCACGTCAAGTATTAAAAACCATTTGTCTCCATTCACTCCTATCAAACACGTTCACGCATGCCCGCTGGAAGTCCAAGCCCCTCGCACACAAAACCTCCTTTACCCCCTCCCTCCTCTTTACACTTATATAAATATTGTTCACCTATATGTTTCACTTTAAACACTTTGTCTACACACCCCCCCCTGCCCTTCCTAAAGCCTCCTTGTTCATCTATTATCCTACTCTCCGTCTTACTCTTAATTCTTTCAATAATAACTCTACCTTACACTTTACCAGGTATATTCAACAGACTTATTCCCCTATTATTTTTTTTTTTATAATTCATAATAACAATTCACTCCATGGGGAAGTGAAAAAGAATCCTTCCTCCATAAGCCATGTGTCATAAGAGGCAACTAAAATGCCAGCAGCAAGGAGCTAGCAACCCCTTCTCCTGTATAAATTACTAAATGCAAGATAAAAAAAAAAACTTTCAATTCTTATTTTTCAGGTCACTGCTTCAGTGGGAGATGGCCAGGGCATTGAAAAACACAAAATAACAATTACCTGCCATATTACTCCGAGTTATTAGTACAGCAGTCCACCCGTATCCATGGGGGATACATGCCTAGTGCCTTTATTTGCTCCATTCATAATACATGTACGTATATGTAAACACACACTGTAACCTTAACAAAGAAATAAATATTTTATTTTTACCGTGGATACCAGAAACCGTGGGTAGTAGCAAACAAACCCTGTATGCAAGTCATTTTTTGTTTACATACATACCTATGATAAAGTTTAACCCTTTCAGGGTCAGTCCCATAATATTACGGCTTGAGAGCCAATGTTGGTCCCGTAATACTATGCCAAAATTCTAGCTCCTTCGAATCTGGTGGAAGAAAGCTGGTAGGATGGCCTGCATGGTCAGTGCATGCAGTAAAAGAAAAATCCTGCAGCATGCAGTGCATAAGGAGAAAAAAAACTCCAACCCTGTTTTTGGTTTAAAACAGCGACTTGGCAGTGTATTTTCGTATGGTATCTACGGTTGTATTCTAGTTTTCTTGGTCTCATTTGATAGAATGGAAGATATATTACAGAAACAGAGATGATTTTGATTGATTTCACAATGAAAAGTACCTTGAAATTGAGCTCAAAGTAGCGAAAATGTTCGATTTTTGCCAATGTTCAAGAGTACTCAGTACACACATACTCACCTATGTACTCAACATAAGAACATAAGAAAGGAGGAACGCTGCAGGAGGCCTGCTGGCCCATACTAGGCAGGTCCTTTACAATTCATCCCACTAACAAAACATTTGCCCAACCCAATTTTCAATGCCACCCAAGAAATAAGCTCTGATGTGAAAGTCCCACTCAAATCCAACCCCTCCCACTCATGTACTTATCCAACCTAGATTTGAAACTACCCAAAGTCCTAACCTCAATAACCCAGCTAGGTAGACTGTTCCACTCATGAACTACCCTATTTCCAAACCAATACTTTCCAATGTCCTTTCTAAATCTAAACTTATCTAATTTAAATCCATTACTGCGGGTTCTCTCTTGGAGAGACATCCTCAAGACCTTATTAATATCCCCTTTATTAATACCTATCTTCCACTTATACACTTCGATCAGGTCTCCCCTCATTCTTCGTCTAACAAGTGAATGTAACTTAAGAGTCTTCAATCTTTCTTCATAAGGAAGATTTCTAATGCTATGTATTAATTTAGTCATCCTAACGCTGAATGTTTTCTAACGAATTTATGTCCATTTTGTAATACGGAGACCAGAACTGAGCTGCATAATCTAGGTGAGGCCTTACTAATGATGTATAAAGCTGCAGTATGACCTCTGGACTTCTGTTGCTTACACTTCTTGATATAAATCCCAGTAATCTATTTGCCTTATTATGTACGCTTAGGCATTGCTGTCTTGGTTTAAGGTTGCTGCTCACCATAACCCCCAAGTCCTTTTCGCAATCTGTATGGCTAAGTTCTACATCATTTAACTTATAAGTACTAGGGTTATGGGCACCCCAAGCTTCAGAACCTTGCATTTATCTACACTGAACTGCATCTGCCACTTTTCTGACCAAGAATAGAGTTTGTTTAAATCCTCCTGAAGTTCCATAACATCTACATTTGAATCAATTATCCTACCTATCTTTGTGTCATCGGCGAATTTGCTCATATCACTAGTAATTCCCTCATCAAGATCATTGATATATATTATAAACAACAACGGGCCCAAGACTGACCCTGTGGAAACGCCACTTGTTACAGATCCTCACTCGGATTTAACCCCATTTATGGACACTCTCTGCTTCCTGTCAGTGAGCCATGACTCGATCCACGAGAGCACTTTTCCCCCAATGCCATGAGCTGCCACTTTCTTTAACAGTCTATGGTGCGGAACTCTATCAAAAGCCTTACTAAAATCTAAGTAAATAATATCAAATTCTTTATTGTGGTCAACAGCCTCAAAAGCTTTACTGAAGAAAGTTAATAAATTAGTTAGACAAGACCGGCCTCTTGTGAATCCATGCTGAGTATCATTAATCAAGCTATGCTTATCGAGATGGCTTCTTATAATCTCAGCTATAATTGACTCTAGTAATTTGCCTACAATTGACGTCAGGCTTATTGGGCGGTAATTTGACGGTAACGACTTGTCCCCTGTTTTAAAAATAGGAATTACATTAGCCATCTTCCACATATCAGACACTACACCTGTTTGAAGAGATAAATTAAAAATATTAGTTAATGGTTCACAGAGTTCCATTTTGCATTCCTTAAGAACCCTTGAAAAAACCTCATCAGGACCCGGCGACTTATTTTGCTTCAGTCTGTCTATCTGCTTCACAACCATCTCACTAGTGACTGATGTTACATAATTTATCTTCTTCTAGCCCACTGTAAAAATTAATTACTGGAATATTGTTAGTGTCTTCCTGTGTAAAAACTGAGAGAAAATAATTATTTAAAATCAAGCACATTTCATTCTCTTTGTCAGTAAGGTGTCCATAGTTATTTTTAAGGGGACCTATCTTATCTCTAACTTTTGTTCTATAGACCTGGAAAAAACTTTTTGGGTTAGTTTTAGAATCCCTAGCAACTTTAATTTCATAGTCCCTTTTAGCTTTTCTTATCCCTTTTTAATGTCCCCCCTTAATGTCAATATACTGATTCATAAGATGACCCTCACCTCTTTTGATATGCCTATAAATTCCTTTCTTATGCCCTAGTAGATATTTGAGCCAAATTATTCATCCATTCTGGGTCATTTCTATTTGATCTAATTTCTTTATATGGGATAAACGCTCTTGAGCAGCATGTATAGTGTTCAGAAAACTGTCATATTGATAGCTCTCTTCGTTACCCCAGTCAACAGATGATAAGTGTTCTCTAAGCCCATCGTAATCTGCTAAGCGAAAATCTGGGACTGTTACTGAGTTATCGCTACTATCGTACTTCCATTCAATGCTAAATGTAATTGATTTGTGGTCGCTAGCACCCAGTTCCTCTGAAATTTCTAAATTATTAACAAGGGATTCATTGTTTGCCATAACTAAGTCAAGCAGGTTATTTCCCCTTGTAGGTTCTGTCACAAACTGCTTCAAAAAACGATCCTGAAATACTTTCTAAGAAGTCGTATGATTCTAAATTCCCAGTCAAGAAATTCCAATCAACATGACTAAAGTTAAAGTTAAAGTCTCCTAGAATTACTACATTATCGTGCCTTGTGGCCTTAACAATTTCCTCCCATAGTAGTTTCCCTTGGTCCCTATCTAAGTTTGGGGGACGGTAAAATCACCCCCTAAAATCAGTTTTTCATGCCCCTCTGAAAATTCTATCCAAACAGACTCTGAAATGTGTTACTTCAGACTTAATACCCGTTTTTATGCAACAGTTCAAGCGATCTCGGACATACAATGCCACCCCACCCCCCTTCCCAATACTTCTATCTTCTTGGAACAATTTAAAACCCTGAATATGACATTCCGCAGGCATGTCCCGACTTTTTGAATTAACCACGTCTCAGTTAAGGCAAATACATCAATGTTACCTGCACTAGCAACTAATCTCAACTCGTCCATCTTATTCCTAGCACTACGGCAATTAGCATAATAAACACTGAAAGACTCTCCTTTCTCTTTACCCTTCCTGCTCATTTCTATTTTTCTACTAAACCTATTACTGTCCTTATCACCCAAGGTCCCTGGCTTTTCAATATCTACCTCGTTCTTATTATTACTAGTTCCCCTAGAACTCGTAATATTACTACACTGGGACTTCACTGTTTTCCTGCCAAAACCCATACCACTAACTACTCCTAGTTTAAAGTCCTAACTGCTCCCTCCACTGCAGTTGCCAATGCTCCCACCCCACACCTAGATAAGTGAACCCCATCCCTGGCATACATGTCATTTCTGCCATAGAAGAGGTCCCAGTTGTCAATGAATGTTACCGCATTTTCCTTACAGTATTTGTCCAGCCAGCAATTGACACCAATTGCCCTGGACAACCATTCATTTCCAACTCCCCTCCTTGGCAAAATACCACATATGAGAGGGTTCCCACCCTTACTCCTAATTATTTCTATTGCTGACCTATACCTGCTAATCAGGTCTTCACTCCTACGTCTGCCAACATCGTTGCCTCCAGCACTGAGACAGATAATAGGATTACTCCCATTACCTCTCATGATGTCATCCAGACGGCTAACAATATCCTCCATCCCAGCCCCAGGAAAGCAAACTCTGTCTCCTACTCCTGTCCTTCAAGCAGAACGCCCTATCCATATACCTTACTTGGTGTCGTTCGTCGTGACGTTCCCAGTAGTCGACTCACATTCGTCGGGTAGCACTGAGAATGTATTAGATGTTTCCACAACAGTTTCCACGGCAGTCTCTTTCTTCTTCATCGTTTCTACCTTTCCATTCGTCTTCTTGATCGTCAACTTCTTTTCCTGCTGTCCAGCCACTGACCAGTTTCCCTTCTTGACCTGAGGACTCAAAACAGGAGGACTACTACGAATCTTTTTGTTTTCCTCGGTCAGTCGCCGAATTTCCATATTCGCCATCCTCAATTCTTCCTTAAGCTGTTGGTAAAGTTGCTCGATGGAGGGCATCTTGCTTCAATTCTAGAGAGCGCACAAACAGGTCTTCACAGAGCCAAGTACACGTCAACACTGCGCAAAAGCCAACTCAATCAGGAGCTACTGCGCAGCACGTCCGCACGGCCCAACAGCGATGCGAACTTCAACAATCACTTTGAACCTTTTATCAATTGTTGACAGGAATATAATTGAACCATTGTTTTTCACAAAAAGCATTTTAGACTTCATGAATATATCCTTTGTGTTATACAAATTTAATTCACTTATAATTAATAATCTACTGTTCAGCTATGAAATAATTACTGTCCTGCTGTACAACTATGATAAAATCCTTAGTGTTAAGTAGTCTGTAAGCCAATAATGTTAAGTTGGCCCATAATGCCTACGTATAATAGAGGCTCTCTTTACATTGCAGCCCACTATTGTAAATATAAAATTGCAATCTACTGTTTGCAGAGAGACAAAATAAATAAATAAATAAGAGGGGCCTGGAGACGTGACTAATGAACAGAGAAAATGTTATTTTAGTGCCAGGAATGTCTGCCTTGTTTATTCTGAGCCCTATTTTGAAACTGGCAACTTTTGAAATTTGTGTAAAATTGGCCAAATTGCCAATTTCTGACCACTTTATTGGGTAGTTGAAATAGGTAAATGGGCAGTTTCTTGTACTCAATCGATAGAACAAATGGAGTTGTAGCGAAATAGCTATGATTTTAGTCGACTGGAACACTGGAATTGGCCAAAAATAAGACTCAAAATAGGGGAAATTACTGATGCGTAATTATCGCAGATATCGCTAACTTCGCGAGCGCGTAATTTCGTAAGTTTTCCATCAAATTTCGTACTTTTGGTGTCATTACCATCAGGAAAAGATTCTCTCTAATTTCCTAAGATTTTTTTTTTTTTTTTTTTTTTTTTAATTTTTTGACACAGTGTGAGTAAAGGATCAGGGGTCTCAACCCTGAAAGGGTTAATTGATAAATTATGCACAATAAGTGGAGAATTTTCACCTTTTCACTGAGGGGAAGCACTTCAAGGCTTCTCTTAGACTTTGAAGAACTGCCCCATCACTAATTTTGTGCTTTGGGGGCCATTATTAAGCAAAATTAAGGGTTATTTTCAGGCCACTGTAAACCGTGGATAACAAACCAAGGAAACTGAAACCACAGATACGAGGGGTCTAATATACTATACTGTACCACTGCAGTGATAGTATTCAAGTGTCTATTACTGTTCAAGAATAATAACAGGGATTACTCTGTGGAAGATGGCAAGTGTGTTAAAAAAAAATATTTTGAAGAACATAGCCCAACTGTTGCTTATTAACAAGCAGGCAGTTCTTCAAACATTCACTCACCTCTTTAGTTTGTTTATTGATAACAGGCAGTGCCTCCTTGACATGGTCAAGACCCATGCATGCCCACTCATCCAAGGCTGTCCATCCACTCACTCGCTCCAGCAGGGGCGAGACCAAGGGTAACATGATGTTGGCTGCAACCCACACACCCATCTCTGCTGCCTGCACAGCCACACCCACATACTGCTTATCCTGTAGGAAATATCTCCAGATAACTGCTGCTATTGTGGGGGACATCTCTATGTTACTGATGCTATGGAAGGCATAATCTACATCAGTTTTTGATGAATTATATTATATACACAGGGAAGCACTAAACCCATAACCATAATTTTTAAAGGGGTGGACCGGTATGCCAGAGGAAAGCTTTGGTCAGATGACCAAAAGTTCCAGCTGTGGGTCACATGATGACCCACATCAGGGTCATGACCCATATCAGAAAACACTTGTTCTGTTTCCTGACAAACCTAATACCTACCTACCACTAAACCCATAGGGGGTTATACAGAGCTTGGACAATGAGAGATACCAGTAATCAGGTTTGAACCAGAGGGAAGGTTGCTCCAATTCTTTGGGTCATGAGTCTTTCACGAGTACCAAGGTAACCCCCTGCCAAAAAATAAGCACTGTACTTGAATGAGTTTGACTAGGGTAACCACTAGGACTAGATATCATATCAGTAACTAATCCTAGTCTGACCAGGAATATAAATTGCTGCCAATGCTGAACATTAATGCTACATGGTGCCAAATGACTTACGTATTTAATATTTTTTTGTGATTACTGTACAATATAAATTCTTACAAGAAAAACTAACAAAACCCCAGTCACCAACCCCTTTATCAAAATGTTTTGTTAGTATTTTTCATTGCAATACTTCCCTATATACTTTTTAAATCTAATTTCACTATCTTTTTCAAAGAATTCTTTTCACTTTTTTATGAACTAAAATGGATCACTTTTTCTCTGACTTCAGTACATCTAACACCAGTACCATATGCAGGTACATGTACTGACCTTCGTGGTACGGTAGAGTGAGGCACCCAGGGAGAGAGCATCTTGCATCACTGGCAGCGACCTGACTTGTCTCACAAACATCGGTGAGGACAGGTCACCTTGCCTCAGGCACACTTTACTTGATATCATTCTTGATCCTCTCCTACCTGGAGACAAGTCATGACAGCTTTAAACATATAGGATGACAGTGATTACTACATGATCTGTTTGTATAGAAAATTTTAAGGCAAGTGTTACACTTATTATTTGCTAAAAAAAAAATAAAAATACTTCCTAAGAGTAATAATTCAAGTAAAATGACAGAGAAAATGGAGATCTTTATTAACACAATGTTTCACCTACATGAAGCTCTATCAAGTCCAGTACTGGACTTGATAATGTCTTATGTAAATGAAACAATGTACTAACAAGGGTCTCCGTTTACTGTGTCTTTTTATCACTTGTTGACCATGCCATATTTCAACAGTAATTATTAAAGGTTGGATAGAAAAGTACAGCATTAGTTTCATAGGGACAAAATATGAAAATGTCATAGCAATGACTGGGAAGACTAATAATAATCACACTGGATAATGAAATATTATGATTAATGGAAAGACAAGCAATCAGTCCGGTTTCATAAACTCTATGGAAGCAGTAGACAAAATAAGCTCATATTAGTTTTTTTTTTTTTTCAACAAGTCGGCCGTCTCCCACCGAGGCAGGGTGACCCAAAAAAGAAAGAAAATCCCCAAAAAGAAAATACTTTCATCATCATTCAACACTTTCACCACACTCACACATTATTACTGTTTTTGCAGAGGTGCTCAGAATACAACAGCTTAGAAGCATATACATATAAAGATACACAACATATCCCTCCAAACTGCCAATATCCCAAACCTCTCCTTTAAAGTGCAGGCATTGTACTTCCCATTTCCAGGACTCAAGTCCGACTATATGAAAATAACCGGTTTCCCTGAATCCCTTCACTAAATATTACCCTGCTCACACTCCAACAGATCGTCAGGTCCCAAGTACCATTCGTCTCCATTCACTTGCTGGAAGTCCAAGCCCCTCGCCCACAAAACCTCCTTTACCCTCTCTCTCCAACCCTTTCGAGGATGACCCCTACCCCGCCTTCCTTCCCCTATAGATTTATATGCTTTCCATGTCATTCTACTTTGATCCATTCTCTCTAAATGACCAAACCACCTCAACAACCCCTCTTCTGCCCTCTGACTAATACTTTTATTAACTCCACACCTTTTCCTAATTTCCACACTCCGAATTTTCTGCATAATATTTACACCACACATTGCCCTTAGACAGGACATCTCCACTGCCTCCAACCGTCTCCTCGCTGCTGCATTTACCACCCAAGCTTCACACCCATATAAGAGTGTTGGTACTACTATACTTTCCTACATTCCCTTCTTTGCCTCCATAGATAACGTTTTTTGACTCCACATATACCTCAACTCACCACTCGCCTTTTTTCCCCTCATCAATTCTATGATTAACCTCATCCTTCATAAATCCATCCGCCGACATGTCAACTCCCAAGTATCTGAAAACATTCACTTCTTCCATACTCCTCCTCCCCAATTTGATATCCAATTTTTCTTTATCTAAATCATTTGATACCCTCATCATCTTACTCTTTTCTATGTTCACTTTCAACTTTCTACCTTTACACACATTCCCAAACTCATCCACTAACCTTTGCAATTTTTCTTTAGAATCTCCCATAAGCACAGTATCATCAGCAAAAAGTAACTGTGTCAATTCCCATTTTGAATTTGATTCCCCAAAATTTAATCCCACCCCTCTCCTGAACACCCTAGCATTTACTTCCTTTACAACCCTATCTATAAATATATTAAACAACCATGGTGACATTACACATCCCTGTCTAAGACCTACTTTTACCGGGAAGTAGTCTCTCTCCCTTCTACACACCCTAAGAATAAGAAGAAGAAAATTGTCTCATATTAGTTATACTAGGTTAAATAAAAGATCACACTGTAAAAGAGCAGAGGCAACGGTGCATGGTTAAACAAGAAAATTTAGTAATCAGGTTACATTAAATGATAGAACTATGTTATATTGTGATGTAAAATGGTTGTCAGTCATTTTGCTTCCCTCTGAAGATGACCTTGATGGATGACAAAAACAATCCATGATAACCACACACACAAGCTTTACAACTGCTGAGTTGCAGTAAGAACGCACGTGAAGCATAACCATTGTTTGCCTAGCGGTGCTGTTTTTCGTACTGTATGAACTGTTGCAAGTCAAAAAACCATGAATGCAATTTGTTTGTAATTTAGGGAACCTTCTATATACAACACTGAGCTTGTGACACCACAAGCATAGCTCCATTTTTGTAACTACATTATTATTATTATTGTTATTATTAATTTTTATATTCATGGGAAAACACTGAACCCATAGGCATCATACAGCACCTTAAGAATAGGAGGTAATCATGTTTAAGACAATGATGGAGAGAGCAGTTCCATTTAGATTAAAATTCTTCACAGCACTGAGGAATCCCATGAAAGATCCATCAACAACAAACAGGACCTCACATACCAACATATAACCACTCTCACAGTGAGTATGGAAATTTGTCACACTTAATAAATAGTGAAAATATTAAAGTGCTAGACTCACCCTGCTTGTGTCTTGCTGCGAGGTGCGGCACACCACACTGAGGCAGGGTTTCTTGAGGCTAAGCACACTTGGCTTGGGAATCAGTATTACATGCGCACACATGCATATGAACACGTGCACGTGTATGCACGTAGACATGACTTAACTTTTAAAGTAAATTTGTACGTGTTACTGTTAGTATATTTAAGTTTAAGATAATACAGACCTGATAAAGAATTACTTAGAGCTCGCTCTGCTACATGTGTTTTACATGCTGTATAATTTTTGTTTAAAACCCACACTGAACCTATGAGGGTGCATCAATGCTCTAAAACAGAAATGAATGTATAATACATTAAAACTGAAAAGAATACACATGAATAGAAAAAGGAAATTAAGAAATAGGAATAAAATACAAGAGCCAATTAAAAGGGAATATTAGAAAAGAATATAATTAAAATGATACAGGGAAGCACTTTCTAATGTAATTAATTAAAGGTCATAGATAGCATCAGTTTCAGAGATGGAATTATCAGTATATTTGTGTTGAGGGAGAGAAAATTAAGGAAGCAAGAAAGGAGGAAAGGTAAGATGAGAGAGCAGGGGAAAGAAAAATAGAGGAGGAAGAGGGAGGAGAGAAAGGGAGAGGGGAGAGAGAGAGAGGAGAGAGGAGAAAGGGTAGGAGATATGTAGGTAAGAAAGAGGTATTTCATCATTCAGATTACATGTACAATATTTCTCGATTATCACTTTTTCCTTTCTCAAAAAGCTTTTTTTCTGTGGGAATATAAAACTGCTTTGCAAAGCCATAGACTAAATACAGATTATTATAAGTCATATATTTGTATCAAACATGCATAATCTTGCTAATATATAATAAATAAAATAAAATTTATAGTATTTAAATAAATTTTCTCATACAAGCAAACTAGTATTTATTGTTTTATAAGCAATTATTATTCATGAAAAAAGCACTAAGCCAGAGAGAAGTTTGACATACCTGGTGCATTCGACTTAAATCTACACGAGTCGTGCAGTTCTAGAACCTGCCAGCTGTATGGCTTCCTGAGCAGAGGTGCACTGGGGGTCCAGTAATGCCAACCTAATTTGGTCACATGACTAAGTCTTCCTTATTCTCTTGTCTCCTACAAGGCTGCTGTTACAGATGCAGGTAGCAATTCCAAGGCCTGTTGTAGCTGGCTGTAACTTAAGTCTTCAGACAAGGTTCGACCCAGACACTCAAAGGCAAAGGTAAATTCAGGGTAGTTTTTTCTTTACCCGAATAAAACTTTCAAGAAAGATACAGTATTCACAGAGTGAAATCAGCAGTACAATAATAATAATAAGCAAAAATGCAAAAAGTCACTCATAACATTACCATTTTACACCTCAGAACAGGCATGAGAGTATGAGTGTACAAGACCAACTTGAGTGAATGTCTGACCCACAGCTGAGTAGTTAAACAACCTCACCTAGCCTGAGGGACCAGCTCTCACACTATTGGTTAACTGAACTGGGCATTTAATAGAGCAGTAGGGGTCCCAGAATTGCTGCATTGAACTGCCAGTTGCTAGTCAAGAAGGCATGCAAATGTGCGTGAATGCCAAATAAATTGTAATGTACTCGGCGGACGTCACAGTTATCAACAATTGCACCCTCGTTCCCCTGCTGCTGAAACAATTATTATAATGTTGTCCTGAAGGTAGGAAATACAGAGCCTAATCTGTAAAAAAAAAGTGATGAGGCAGCCATTTGGAGGGCCATCTGATCTGTGATATTAGCAGCTTCTGGGAAAAAACAAAAAAAAGGAAAGAAGCCCTTAACTTGTAGTTCATACATTGCTTGGAAAATGGAAGTTAATCAGGTTTAAGGAAAGGTCAGCTATAATTCCTTGAATCAAGAGCCTATCACTAACATAATAATAATAATCTATTTCTACAACATATACAGGCCTAGCTGACATCAGTGGCATACTATTATATATAATTATTATTACAATCATGAGGGAGCGCTAAACTCGTAGGGATTATACAGTGTATGTGGGGGTGGGGGAGGATGGAAGGTATGCAGGCTTAATTCAAGGAACTGGAGCACATTCAATTCCCTAGATCAAGAGCTCCTCATCAGCATCAAGGAACCTTCCTTGAGGGGCATACTGTTACAGGTCCACATCCCATTATCCGAAATTCTGAAATTCGAAAAGTTCTGAAAACTGAAGTTTTTTCATGGAGTGTCAGTTATCTCTACTTAACTCCAATGCTGCCACGTGGTGGCATGACCCAGCACTGACAGCCAGGATGGCAGGCGTCAGTTGTGTCTCAGCACTTGTAGTGTTCACACGTGCATCTGCTGTTCGCTGATATTTTGTTTTTGCTTTTTATTTTGCGATTGTATTTAATTTCACTGAGAATGTCAAAAAAAGCTGCAGATATCCCTATGGGTAACAGTGAGAAAAAGAAAAGGAAGCATCTGACATTATTAATAACGCAGAAAGTAGAGTTACTGCAGAAACTTGATCACTGTGTGTCAGTGCAGCATCTTACTGAAGAATATGGTGTTGGAACTACCACTGTTTATGATTTAAAGAAACAAAGATAACTTACTAAAATATTATAGTGACAGTGATGACTAAAAACTAATGAAAAATAGGAAAACACTGCATACAGCAAAAAACGAAGATCTTGACTGTGTGCTAATGGAGTGGATTCGACAACGAAGAAGTGAACATATGCCGCTGACTGGTTTGTTGGTCATGAAACAAGCTAGAATATATCATGAAGAACTGAACATTGAAGGCGAGTGTCAATATTCAGATGGTTGGCTGCAGAAATTTAAGAAGCGTAATGGTGTAAAATGTCTGAAAATCTGTGGTGAAAAAGGTTCTGTTGACCATGAAGCAGCTGAATATTACAATGACGAATTTGCCAAGATAATATCCGATAAAAACCTTAGTTATGAATAAATTTACAATGCTGATGAAACAGCTCTCTACTGGTGCTACGTTCCTAGAAAAACAACAATGGCTGATGAAAAAGCACCAACAGGTTTTAACCCTTAAACGGTCCAAACAGATCGACGTTCAAATTCGTATTGCTACAAAAGTAGATCTACTTTTTTTTACATATTTTCAAATATAACAAAAAAAAAATGAAGATAAAAGTTTTTTTACACGTTTTCAAATGTAAAACAAAAAAAGAAGATCTACATTTTTTTACATACTTTCAGATGTTGAAAAAACGTATATATATGTTTGGACCATTTAAGGGTTAAGGATGCTAAGGACAGGTTAACTATTCTTGGGTGTGCCAATGCTGCAGGCACACACAAGGTGAAGGTCGCAGCGATTGGAAAAAGCAAACATTCGAGATGTCTGAAAGGTGTACGCAATTTACGTGTGCATTATTATGCCAACAAGAAAGCATGGGTAACCCAAGAGACTGCTTAGACAGAAACCTATGTCAATAAGACAGATGACAATTGAAGAAGTCTTTAAAAACACCGTCTGTCAATTGTCTCGAGAATCTCGTTCCTGGTCTATAATTATCCCATTACTACATTTCATTTGTCAATATATTAATCCATAAATAACCCATTGTAGTATTTGTAGTCTTTATTTATCCCACTTAGTGCGAGTATTCATATGTTTTTGCTGCAGTGTTAATGTATGATTATGGGTTGCTGCCCTAGACCCAACCTTCATTCTGAAATTCGCAAAATTCTGAAATTAGAAACACTACTGGCCCCAAGAGTTTCGGATAAAGGGATGTGGACCTGTATATAGAAAGCCCCTGGTTATGCAGAACATTTTGGAGAAATTAGGTCAGTTTTGACCCCAACATGTGACCCATATCAGTTGGCTTACATCCAGGTGTCCATCTACTGTAAGTGAACAGGGACAGAAGGTGTTTTAAGGAAACCAATCCTAATGTTTCCACCGTACTGAGAATGAATCCATGGTAAGGAAAGTTAGGTCTAATTCCTTGGATCAAGAGCTCCTCACCTGCATCAAGTCTCTCCCCAGCATTAGGAAACCTTTCTTGAGGAGAATTCTATGTTATAAATTATACCCTGTTATTCAATTTTTTAATTCATTCATATCTTCAACTATTATCACATAATTACTTCCTTATTTGCTTTACAATTCTCTAAGTCATATCTAGTATCTCCATAAATTCAATTTTCATTAATTTTTTTTTTCCAACAAACCAACCGTATCCCACCAAGGCAGGGTGACCCAAAAAAGAAACACTTTCACCATCATTCACACAATCAAGTCTTTGCAGAGGCATTCAGATAAAACAGTTAAGATGTCACTACAAGCAGCCAATATCACAAATCCCTCCTTTAAAGTGCCGGCATTGTAACCCCCTCCTCCAGGACTCCAGTCCAGCTAACCGATTTCCCTGAATCCCTTCAGAAAATATTACCCTGCTCACACTCCTACAACTCATCAAGTCCCAAAAACCATTCATCTCAATTCACTCCTATCTAATACACTCACATAAATAATGCTGTCCCTTCCATACTGCTGGTAAAACAAACTTGAATTTTGGAAATGGGAAATATGATGCCTGCACTGTAAACTGACTAGGAATGTTGCAACTTAATGGGTATCTGGAAAGTAATATCTGCACCCTTCTGACAAGACAATGAGGGATTATTATTACAAATGGGTTTCACTTTACAGAGCTTTGCTTTATGGCATTTTGCTAATGCAGCAGTTTTCAATTATACCCATTCTTCATTTATTCAGACTTCCTACAATAAATATATTCACCACTCACTACAAGCTAAGAATGAAAACATTTTCAGGTAAGTAATGTCTGTACTGAATGTGCATTTTTTAGGCCTAGCTCTATTGCTTGCTTAATATATGATAGTGTAATCACATTATCAGGCTTTTATTTTTTATTTTTATTTTTATTTTTTTTTTCAAACAAGTCGGCCGCCTCCCACCGAGGCAGGGTGACCCAAAAAAAGAAAGAAAATCCCCAAAAAGAAAATACTTTCATCATCATTCAACACTTTCACCACACTCACACATTATCACTGTTTTTGCAGAGGTGCTCAGAATACAACAGTTTAGGCTTTTATATGCACCTGAAAATGAAAAAAGGCTATTAGGCTTTACTTTACAGAAATTTTTACTTTACAGCAGTAGCCCAGAACCTAACCTGCTGTATAAGAGTGACCTGCCTGTATTGTATATTTTTTTTCTTTAACTCATGGCCGTCTCCTGTTAAGGGAGGGTGGCCCCAAAGAAGAAATTACATTCACCATCATTCATTTGATCATAGTTTTTCCGGAAGTGTGCTGACAACACACTGTGATTACCTTCTGACTGCAACATCCCCCACCCCTCCTTCAGGTAGGCACTGCCCTTTCTATTCCCCAGGACTCAAGTCGGGCTGACCAGTTTCTCTGATTCCCTTCGTAGAAATTACCCTACCCACACTCCAACAGTATGTCTACTGAAGACCCCTTTTCTCCATTCACAGAAAGTTCCATACTTGTGTGGGTCATTCAGTGCAATGGAGCAAGTGCAAAACAAATGCAAGTGATTTTCTTTGTTTGCCATTTTGCATCTGTCAGGAAACAGCCAGCGTTAATAAAATTCTATGCAAACATCATCGCTTCTGAACAAAGCACTTACAAATCAATTAAATTTTTATGAGCCATTCTGTCAATTTTGCATTACAAAATACTTGTTTGTAAGTAGGAACACCAGCAATACAGCTCATTCTTGAGTTGGGAGCCCCAAGAATATCCTCTACAATAGTACTACTACTACTGTAAATTTCATTTTTTCTGTTCTGGGCACATTACAGCATGTCATTTGGGGGGAATTAAACTGCAGTAGCTTAAAATTATGACACTCCTTTAGCAAAGCATATACAAGATAAAGAACAATGAAATAACTACTAAATATAAATCAATTATTTTTATTAAACATACGATACTTTGGAGGAAAACAGTCAAATTACATCAAGTTTCATATATTTTTTCTTAAATCAAGCTTAGCATAATTTTTCTTGCTTCAAGTACTTCAGACTTGGTCACTACATGCACAACTATGCTGTTATCAGAAACACATTACCCTACTTTTGATAAAAAGTGCACACATACACATACACAAAACACTTATTTTGCCAATATCCTTACTTAATGTTCGTGTAAGCTACTGTTGATACAAGTGTAGGAAAATAAAGACACGTGCAGCTTACAAAGCCAGTTATATACAGCTCTTTCTGTGTTACTTTAAATAATATCTTTGGTGAATAAAAACAACAACTGCAAAGACCTATAATTACCTGTTTGTATAGGTAATTTAGCAACTGCAAACTGTGTATGCAAACAAATACCACAGAAGTAACAAGACAGACAAGAAGTGTTCTGTGAATGTTAAAAAAGTTCTTACATATTTTCATGTAATTAAAAAGGCACATTTACATACAATAAAATATTTTATGGTAAACTCAAAATTGTGTTCTTTCACCTTGTAATTTTCAACTAATGACAGAGCCTTCCTTTTGCTTCTAAACCATCTTAAACCAATTATACAACAAAAGGAAACCATCAGCATTACATCAAATGGTTCAGGTTAAACATCACACATCACTTCCAATCAAAGCTTTAAATTTACTAAGCATACAAATCGTTCATACATTCTACTGTTTACCTTACATCTTCAGGAATCAAAATTCTTCATAGAGCTGCAACAGAATCCATGGGCATCAAACATGAGGTAAATTCCACACATATGTATCTACGTGAAAGTGCTATTACAAATAAGTCCCAAAAACTGAAAGTATCTACTAGAAGAAACCAAAATGATCTCAAAACCCATTCTTCAAACTTCAAAAATTATATTATTCACAAATATTAGATCTCCCCATATGAATAAACTAAATTTATATTGTACCATATACAGCTCGGACATCACTGATCTGGCAATCGCCAATCTGGTTCCATCACTAATCCGGCACTAATTTTGGCTAGCTTAATTTCAAATTTCCTGGGTTGCCTCACCAACCTGCTGCTACTTCTTGCATAAACACTGTTGGTGTCACAAACACAGGCAAACCATTCCAATTTCTTTTTCTGACTTTGCGGTGTATTTTTGTATAATTTTTGTGTTTGTGTTCTCAGTTTTTTGTCTCATTTGATAGGATAGAAGATATATTACAGAAATAAAGATGATTTTGATTGGTTTCAGGATGGAAAGTACCCTGATACTGAGCTCAAAGTAGTGGAAAGGTTTGATTTTTGCCAATGTTCAAGAGTAAACAAATTATGCCACGCATCCAATAAATGTCCAATTGGCCGGTTTAATACATGGTCATGAATGGGTTGTTATACAATGCAATAATGCAGTAGTCTGCATAACAGTAAATCTATCTATTTGTGTGAATAAAAATTCAGAAAGGAAAGCAAATGTAATGTAAGAGGGGCCTGAAGATGTGACATTATTTTAGTGCCAGGAATGTCTGTACTGTTTATTCTGGACACTATTTTGAAATCGGCATCACATGAAATTTGTGTGAAATTGGCCAAATTACTGATTTCTGATCACTTTATTGGGTAGTTGAAATAGGTAAATGGGTAGTTTCTTGTACTCAATTGACAGAATAGATGGAATACTAGCAAAATAGCTATGAATTTGGTTAACTGGAACAATGAAATTGGCCAAAAATAGGGCATAAAGTGGGCAAAATTGCTGATGCGTAAATATTGCCGAGACCACTAACTTTGCGAGAGCATAATTCCATAAGCTTTCCATCAAATTTCTTACCTTTGGTTTTATTACCTTCGGAAAAGATTCTCTATCATTCCACAAGATAAAGTTTGTTTGGTACGTATTGGTATACTGTTGGGTAGACTTCAAGATGTACATGTTTATAAGGGGCCACAGACGTATCAAATCACTTTTTAGTTGTAGCTACAGTGAGAGTAAAAGGTAGATGGGATACAAGGAAAATGGAAGCAGCAGGTAAGTGAGAGGTGAAGGTTTATAAGCTAAAGGAGGAGGCAGTTAAGGTATGATATAAACAACTATTGGAGGACAGATGGGCTAGTGAGGGTATAGGCAATGGGGCTGAGGATGTATAGAATAGGTTTATGAATGTAGTGTTAGAGTGGTCAGAAGAAGTCTGTGGTTACAGGAAAGTGGGTGCAGGAGGGAAGAAGAGCAATTGGTGGAATGATGATGTAAAGAGTTTAATAAGAGAAAAAGTTAGCATATGAGAGGTGTTTACAAAGTAGAAATGATGAAATGAGGGAGGAGTATATGGAAAAGAAAAAAAAGTTAAGTGGTGAAGCAATGTAAAAAGAGCAAATGAGAGAGTGGGTTAGAGGTTATCAAGAAATTTTGTTGAAAATAAGAAAAAGTTTTGGAGTGAGAGTAATAAGTTGAGGAAGCCTAAGGAACAAATGGATTTGGCAGTTAAAAGTAGGTGAGGAGAGTTATTAAATGGAGAGAGAGAGGTATCAGGAAGATGGAGAGAATATTTTGAGGAATTGTTAAATGGTAATGAAGACAGGGAAGCTGTGATTTCATGTATAGGGCAAGGAGGAATAACATCTTGTATGAGTGAAGAGCGAGTTGTGAGTGTGGGGGAAGTTAATGAGGCAGTGAGCAGAATGAAAGGGGGTAAGGCAGCTGGGATTCATGGGATAAAGATAGAAATGTTAAAAGCAGGTGGGGATATAGTTTTGGAGTGGGTGGTGCTTTTAATTAATAAATATATGGAAGAGGGTAAGGTACCTAGGGATTGGCAGAGAGCATGCATAGTTCCTTTGTATAAAGGCAAAGGGGACAAAGGAGAGCACAAAAATTAAAAGGGAATAAGTCTGTTGAGTAAGCCTGTAATTGTTTTACATGATGGTAGGATAGCTGGTGTCCTTTTTTCGGTCTCGTGAACATGCAAGATTTCAGGTATGTCTTGCTACTTCTACTTACACTTAGGTCACACTACACATACATGTACAAGCACATATATACACACCCCTCTGGGTTTTCTTCTATTTTCTTTCTAGTTCTTGTTCTTGTTTATTTCCTCTTATCTCCATGGGGAAGTGGAACAGAATTCTTCCTCCGTAAGCCATGCGTGTTGTAAGAGGTGACTAAAATGCCGGGAGCAAGGGGCTAGTAACCTCTTCTCCTGTATATATTACTAAATGTAAAAGGAGAAACTTTCGTTTTTCCTTTTGGGCCACCCCGCCTCGGTGGAATATGGCCGGTGTGTTGAAAGAAGAAAGGAAGAAGTCTGTTGAGTATACCTGGTAAAGTGTATGGTAGAGTTATTATTAAAAGAATTAAGAGTAAGATGGAGAATAGGATAGCAGATGAATAAGGAGGCTTTAGGAAGGGTAGGGGGTGTGTAGACCAAGCGTTTACAGTGAAACATATAGGTGAACAATATTTAGATAAGGGTAAAGAGGTTTTTGTGGCATTTATGGAATTGGAAAAGACATATGACAGGTAGATAGAGGGGCAATGTGGCAGATGTTGCAAATGTATGAAATAGGAGGAAGGATATAGAAGGCAGTGAAAAGTTTTTACGAGGATAGAGAGGCTAAGGTTAGAGTATGTAGGAGAGAGGGAGATTATTTCCCAGTAAAAGTAGGCCTTAGACAAGGATGTGTGATGTCACCATGTTTGTTCAATATATTTACAGATGGGGTTGTTAAAGAAGTGAATGCTCGGGTGTTGGCAAGAGGTGTGGGGTTAACCCTTTGAGGGTCGACAGGCCCTCTCCGAAACTCGTTCTCAGGGTCGGCCAAATTTAAAAAAAAAAAAAATTATTTTCTCCTATGAAAAGATAGAGAATCTTTTCCCGATCATAAAGACACCAAAAGTTTGAAATTTGATAGAAAACTTAAGGAATTATGCTCTCGCAAAGTTAGTGGTCTCGGCGATGTTTACGCATCGGCGATTTTGCCCACTTTGAGCCCCATTTTCGGCCAATTTCACTGTACTAGTCGCAAAAAACATGAATATTTCGCTAGAACTCCATTTTTTTCTATTGAATGGGTGCAAGAAACCACCCATTTATGAAATTCAACTATCCAGTACAGTGGTCAGAATTTAGCAATTTTGCCAATTTCACACAAATTTCAAAAGATGCCAATTTCCGAATAGGGTCCAGAATAAACAAGAAAGACATTCCTGGCACTAAAATGACATTTCCTCTAGTCATTAGTCACGTCTCAAGGCCCCTCTTATATTCTTTTGCTTTCCACTTTGAATTTTTATTCTCACAAAAAATATAAGATTTACTGTTATGCAGACTACTGCATTAGTGTAAAAAATGGTATAAATATTATTGGTGCACTTGTGAAAGAATATTAGACTCACCAGTTGACGTGTATTGCACGCTTGGCACGATTTGTTTACTTTTGAAGTTTGGTAAAAATCGAACATTTCTGCTACTTTGAGCTCAATTTCAAGGCACCTTTCATTGTAAAACCAGTCAAAATCATCTCAATTTCTGTAATATGTTTTCCATTCTATAAAATGAGACCAAGAAAACTAGAATACAACAATAAATACCATACGAAAATACACTGCAAAGTCGCTGATTTATTCCAAAAAAATGGTCAGTTTTTTTTTTCTCATTATGCACTGTGTGCTGCAGGATTTTTTTTAGACTGTGCACACTGACCACAGACCCATTCTTTCATATGAAGGCCTACCAGCTTTCTCCCACTAGATTTGAGGCCGCTAGAATTTATGCGTACTAGTACGTCAAAAACCCCTACGCGTAAGACGTACTAGTACGACCAAAACCCTCAAAGGGTTAAAAGATAAAGAATCTAACACAAAGTGGGAGTTGTCACACTTGCTCTTTATTGATGACACTGTACTTTTTGGAGATTCTGGAGAGAAGTTGCAGAGGTTAGTGGATGAGTTTGGTATGGCATATAAAAAGAAAATTAAAAGTGAATATAGGAATGGGTAAGGTGATGAGGATAAAAAGATTAGGTAACAAAGGATTGGACATCAGATTAAAGGGAAAGAGTATGGAGGAGGTGAATGTATTCAGATATTTAGGAGTGGACGTGTCAACAGATGGGTCTATGAAAGATGAGGCGAATCACAGAACTGATGAGGGAAAAAGGCGAGTGGTGCACTGAGGAGTCTGTGGAGACAAAGAACTTTGTCCATAGAAGCAAAGAGGTTAATGTATGAGAGTATAGTTACACCAATGCTCTTATCTGGGTGTGAAGCATGGGTGATGAATGTTGCAACAAGGAGAACGCTGGAGGCAGTGGAGATGTCGTGTCTGAGGGCAATGTGTGGTGTGAATAAAATGCGGAGAACTCATAGTTTGGAAATTAGGAGGAGGTCCGGGATTACCAAAACTATTATCCAGAGGGATGAGGAGAGGTTGTCGAGGTGCTTCGGACATGTAGAGAAGATGGAACAAAACTGAATGACTTCGAGTGTATAAATCTGCAGTGGAGGTAAGATGGGGTAAAGGTCAGCCAGTAAAGGTTGGAGGGAGGGGGTAAATGAGGTTTTTGTGTGCGAGGGGCTTGGACTTCCAGCAAGCATGCATGAGTGTGTTAGATAGGAGTAATTTTGTTATATCTAACAGATGTTTCGTGAATGTACAATGTTTTATTTTCTATTGTAATTGTTGTCACATCTATAAACATCAGGGCAGAATAGTACTAGTCTGTTATGTTCAAGTGATATTTACTGCTAATTTTTTATTTTTTTAACGCATCGGCCGTTTTCCACCGAGGCAGGGTAACCCAAAAAGAAAGAACCCCCCCCCCCCCAAAAAAAAAAAAAAAAAAAAACTAGAAAGTTTTTTTTTTTCAACAAGTCGGCCGTCTCCCACCGAGGCAGGGTGACCCAAAAGGAAAGAAAATCCCCGAAAAGAAAATACTATCATCATCATCATTCAACACTCACCTACTCACACATAATCACTGTTTTTACAGAGGTGCTCAGAACACAACAGTTTAAAAGCATATACGTATAAAGATACACAACATATCCCTCCAAACTGCCAATATCCCGAACCCCTCCTTTAGAGTGCAGGCATTGTACTTCCCATTTCCAGGACTCGAGTCCGGCTATATAAAAATAACCGGTTTCCCTGAATCCCTTCACGAAATATTACACTCTTATATGGGTGTGAAGCTTGGGTTGTAAATGCTGCAGTGAGGAGGCGGTGGAGATGTCCTGTCTAAGGGCAATGTGTGGTGCAAATATTGTGCAGAGAATTCAGAGTGTGGAAATTAGGAGAGGGTGTGGAGTTAATAAAAGTATTAGTCAGAGGGCTGAAGAGGGATTGTTGAGGTGGTTTGGTCATTTAGAGAGAATGGAGCAAAGTAGAATGACATGGAGAGCGAATAAATCTGTAGGGGAAGGAAGGAGAGGTAGGGGGTCATCCTTGAAAAGGTTGGAGGGATGGGGCAAAGGAGGTTTTGTGGGCAAAGGGCTTGGACTTCCAGCAAGCATGCATGAGTGTGTTAGATAGGAATGAATGGAGACGAATGGTATTTGGAACCTGACGAGCTGTTGGAGTGTGAGCAGGGTAATATTTAGTGAAGGGATTCAGCGAAACCAGTTATTTTTATATAGCCGCACTTGAGTACTGGAAATGGGAAGTACAATGCCAGCACTTTAAAGGAGGGGTTGGGATATTGGCAGTTTGGAGGGATATGTTGTGTATCTTTATACATATATGCTTCTAAACTGCTGTGTTCTGGGCACCTCTGCAAAAACAGTGATTATGTATGAGTGAGGTGAAAGTGTTGAATGATGAGGAAAGTATTTTCAGTATTTTCTTTCTGGGGATTTTCTTTCTTTTTGGGTCACCCTGTCTCGGTGGGAGACGGCTGATGTTGAAAAAAAAAAAGTGTATTTTATGTTATATACTCCAGTATTGCTATGTTTAGTACTCTTTATTTATAAATACAATAGTGTGTGCTTTTACATACTGTATAATTTTCATATTATGTACTACTAGTTTAAGTCTGCCAGAAATAGGGATTGTAGGATTTGCAGAGAATTGAAACCTATGATATTCAGCATTCTGTGCAATTAAAAATTTACACAACCAAATAAAATATTACTTGCATACTAATTAAACACACAAACTAAAACGACCAAAACAGTCATTTAAAATTAAATACATACAATCATTACTAAGTAATTTGAATTTGTAGAGTTGGATACATTTGAAAGTATTGCTATGTTTCTCTTTTTCTCTTTGTAGCCTCCTTGTTATTGTATAGGGCACAATAGCCTCACCCTTAGATACCTGCTTGTCAGGAATCCTGCACACTTGTGTGCTGTTCAATGTGAATTTCATTTTAATTACATGCCTTAGGTTCTAGCCTTACCATTTTAGCCATGGGCTTTATAATCACTGCTGTGTCTTTAGAGATCTTGGTGACATGTTAGAGAATTCTTATAATGTGAGTTATTTTTTAATAACAAAATTTTAATTGTAATGATTTTTTTTTTTTTTTTTTAAATCATTACAATTAAAATTTTGTTATTAAAAAATAACTCACATTATAAGAATTATCAGTAGTAGGTTGGTAGACAGCAACCACCCAGGGAGGTACTACCGTCCTGCCAAGTGAGTGTAAAACGAAGCCTGTGATTGTTTTACATGATGGTAGGATTGCTGATGTCTTTTGTCTGTCTCATAAATATGCAAGATTACAGGCATGTCTTGCTACTTCTACTTACACTTAGGTCACACTACACATACATGTACACATTTATTTATACACACTCATCTGAGTTTTCTTTGATTTTATCTTAATAGTTCTTGGTCTTATTAATTTTCCTTTTATATCCATGGGGAAGTGGAATAAGAATCTTTCCTCCGTAAGCCATGCGTGTTGTAAAAGTCAACTAAAATGCCGGGAACAATGGGCTAGTAACCCCTTTTCCTGTAAAGATTACTAAAAAGAATAAGAAGAAGAAAATTGTCAAAGTGGGAAGTCTGAATGTGCGTGGATGTTGTGCAGATGATAAGAAAGAGATGATTGTGGATGTTATGAATGAGAAGAAGCTGGATGTCCTGGCTTTAAGTGAAACAAAGCTGAAGGGGGTGGGAGAGTTTCAGTGGAGAGGAATAAATGGGATTAGGTCAGGGGTTTCAAATAGAGTTAGAGCTAAAGAAGGAGTAGCAATAATGTTGAAGGATAAGCTATGGCAGGAAAAGAGGGACTATAAATGTATTAATTCAAGGATTATGTGGAGTAAAATAAAGATTGGATGTGAAAAGTGGGTTATAATAAGCGTGTATGCACCTGGAGAAGAGAGAAGTGTAGAGGAGAGAGAGAGATTTTGGGAAATGTTGAGTGAATGCGTGGGGAGTTTTGAATCAAGTGTGAGAGTAATGGTGGTTGGGGATTTTAATGCTAAAGTGGGTAAAAATGTTATGGAGGGAGTAGTAGGTAAATTTGGGGTGCCAGGGGTAAATGTAAATGGGGAGCCTTTAATTGAGCTATGTGTAGAAAGAAATTTGGTAATAAGTAATACATATTTTATGAAAAAGAGGATAAATAAATATACAAGGTATGATGTAGCACGTAATGAAAGTAGTTTATTAGATTATGTATTGGTGGATAAAAGGTTGATGGGTAGGCTCCAGGATGTACATGTTTATAGAGGGGCAACTGATATATCGGATCATTATTTAGTTGTAGCTACAGTTAGAGTAAGAGGTAGATGGGAAAAGAGGAAGGTGGCAACAACAAGTAAGAGGGAAGTGAAAGTGTATAAACTAAGGGAGGAGGAAGTTCGGGTGAGATATAAGCGACTATTGGCAGAAAGGTGGGCTAGTGCAAAGATGAGTAGTGGGGGGGTTGAAGAGGGTTGGAATAGTTTTAAAAATGCAGTATTAGAATGTGGGGCAGAAGTTTGTGGTTATAGGAGGGTGGGGGCAGGAGGAAAGAGGAGTGATTGGTGGAATGATGAAGTAAAGGGTGTGATAAAAGAGAAAAAGGTAGCTTATGAGAGGTTTTTACAAAGCAGAAGTGTTATAAGAAGAGCAGAGTATATGGAGAGTAAAAGAAAGGTAAAGAGAGTGGTGAGAGAGTGCAAAAGGAGAGCAGATGATAGAGTGGGAGAGGCACTGTCAAGAAATTTTAATGAAAATAAAAAAAAAATTTTGGAGTGAGTTAAACAAGTTAAGAAAGCCTAGGGAAAATATGGATTTGTCAGTTAAAAACAGAGTAGGGGAGTTAGTAGATGGGGAGATGGAGGTATTGGGTAGATGGCGAGAATATTTTGAGGAACTTTTAAATGTTAAGGAAGAAACAGAGGCAGTAATTTCATGCACTGGTCAGGGAGGTATACCATCTTTTAGGAGTGAAGAAGAGCAGAATGTAAGTGTGGGGGAGGTACGTGAGGCATTACGTAAAATGAAAGGGGGTAAAGCAGTGGAACTGATGGATCATGACAGAAATGTTAAAAGCAGGGGGGGATATAGTGTTGGAGTGGTTGGTACTTTTGTTTAATAAATGTATGAAAGAGGGGAAGGTACCTAGGGATTGGCAGAGAGCATGTATAGTCCCTTTATATAAAGGGAAAGGGGACAAAAGAGACTGTAAAAATTATAGAGGAAATAAGCTTACTGAGTATACAGAAAAGTGACGGTAGGGTTATAATTGAAAAATTAGAGGTAAGACAGAATGTATGATTGCGGATGAGCAAGGAGGTTTTTAGAGTGGGTAGGGGATGTGTAGATCAGGTGTTTACATTGAAGCATATATGTGAACAGTATTTAGATAAAGATAGGAAGTTTTTATTGCATTTATGGATTTAGAAAAGGCATATGATAGAGGGGATAAGGAGCAATGTGCAGATGTTGCAAGTATATGGAATAGGTGGTAAGTTATTAAATGCTGTAAAGAGTTTTTATGAGGATAGTGAGGCTCAGGTTAGGGTGTGTAGAAGAGAGGGAGACTACTTCCCGGTAAAAGTAGGTCTTAGACAGGGATGTGTAATGTCACCATGGTTTTTTAATATATTTATAGATGGGGTTGTAAAGGAAGTAAATGCTAGGGTGTTTGGGAGAGGGGTGGATTAAATTATGGGGAATCAAATTCAAAATGGGAATTGACACAGTTACTTTTTGCTGATGATACTGTGCTTATGGGAGATTCTAAAGAAAAATTGCAAAGGTTAGTGGATGAGTTTGGGAATGTGTGTAAAGGTAGAAAGTTGAAAGTGAACATAGAAAAGAGTAAGGTGATGAGGGTGTCAAATGATTTAGATAAAGAAAAATTGGATATCAAATTGGGGAGGAGGAGTATGGAAGAAGTGAATGTTTTCGATACTTGGGAGTTGACGTGTCGGCGGATGGATTTATGAAGGATGAGGTTAATCATAGAATTGATGAGGGAAAAAAGGTGAGTGGTGCGTGGGGTATATGTGGAGTCAAAAAAACGTTATCAAATGGAGGCAAAGAAGGGAATGTATGAAAGTATAGTAGTACCAACACTCTTATATGGGTGTGAAGCTTGGGTGGTAAATGCAGCAGCGAGGAGACGGTTGGAGCAGCGGAGATGTCCTGTTTTAAGGGCAATGTGTGGTGTAAATATTATGCAGAAAATTCGGAGTGTGGAAATTAGGAGAAGGTTGTGGAGTTAATAAAAGTATTAGTCAGAGGGCAGAAGAGGGGTTGTTGAGGTGGTTTGGTCATTTAGAGAGAATGGATCACAGTAGAATGACATGGAAAGCATATAAATCTATAGGGAAGGAAGGCGGGGTAGGGGTCGTCCTCGAAAGGGTTGGAGAGAGGGGGTAAAGGAGGTTTTGTGGGTAAGGGGCTTGACTTCCAGCAAGCGTGCGTGAGCGTGTTAGATAGGAGTGAATGGAGACGAATGGTACTTGGGACCTGACGATCTGTTGGAGTGTGAGCAAAGGGGAATATTTAGTGAAGGGATTCAGGGAAACCGGTTATTTTCATATAGTCGGACTTGAGTCCTGGAAATGGGAAGTACAATGCCTGCACTTTAAAGGAGGGGTTTGGGATATTGGCAGTTTGGAGGGATATGTTGTGTATCTTTATATGTTTATGCTTCTAGACTGTTGTATTCTGAGCACCTCTGCAAAAACAGTGATAATGTGCGAGTGTGGTGAAAGTGTTGAATGATGATGAAAGTATTTTCTTTTTGGGGATTTTCTTTCTTTTTTGGGTCACCCTGCCTCGGTGGGAGACGGCCGACTTGTTGAAAAAAAAAAAAAAAAAAAAATAAGAATTCTCTAACATGTCACCAAGATCTCTAAAGACACAGCAGTGATTATAAAGCCCATGGCTAACATGGTAAGGCTAGAACCTAAGGCATGTAATTAAAATGAAATTCACATTGAACAGCACACAAGTGTGCAGGATTCCTGACAAGCAGGTATCTAAGGGTGAGGCTATTGTGCCCTATACAATAACAAGGAGGCTACAAAGAGAAAAAGAGAAACATAGCAATACTTTCAAATGTATCCAACTCTACAAATTCAAATTACTTAGTAATTTGCTCATAATTCAAAAATTGTACATGCACCCAAAGAATGGTATATATGGCCCGAAGGTGCGTGATCTCATTCATTATTTGAATCAATATTTAACACACTGGCCATCTCCCACCGAGGTAGGGTGACCCAAAAAATAAGAAACGAAAGTTATTCATCTTTTTAAACTACATTTTGTAATTTATACAAGAGAAGGGGTTACTAGCCACTTGCTCCAGGCATTTTAGTCACCTCTTACAACATGCACAGAATCAGTGTCATACAGATATTCACAACAGCAATCCACTCACTCATGTTCTTGCATGTACATGCAATTTTCTTGCACTGATATAATATCCAGAACAAGAAAATAATTGTAAAGTAAAAGGACACAAGTGCAACTAATGTGTTATTTTATTGTGGCAATGTTTCGCTCTCCAGGAGCTTTATCAAACAGTTACAAACAATACATGGACAGAGAGGGTATATATAGGCTCAGAGTGACGTGTAATACTAGTGGTAGTAGTAATATAAGTTGTAATAGTAGTAGTAATACAATATGGTAGAGCAATAAACTTGCACATGAGTAAAAGGTTATAAAAGCTATTACTTGGGTAACATAAAAATAGGTTAGACAAATATTTTTGTTGGTGGTTGGATCTGAGAAGGTCTGTTTCAGTGTTCCTTCTCTGTTGCATTCTTGTGTAGCAGAGACTATGAGATGGCAAGGTTTACTGTTTTGAGGAAGAACACAACAGAGAAGGAACACTGAAACAGAATGGAGGCGAATGGTACTTGGGACCTGACGATCTGTTGGAGTGTGAGCAGGGTAATATTTAGTGAAGGGATTCAGGGAAACCGGTCATTTTCATATAGTCGGACTTGAGTCCTGGAAATGGGAAGTACAATGCCTGCACTTTAAAGGAGGGGTTTGGGATATTGGCAGTTTGGAGGGATATGTTGTGTATCTTTATACGTATATGCTTCTAGACTGTTGTATTCTGAGCACCTCTGCAAAAACAGTGATAATGTGCGAGTGTGGTGAAAGTGTTGAATGATGATTAAAGTATTTTCTTTTTGGGGATTTTCTTTCTTTTTTGGGTCACCCTGCCTCGGTGGGAGACGGCCGACTTGTTGGGGGAAAAAAAAAAAAAAAAAAAAAAAAAAAAAAAAAAAAAAAAAAATTATGTTACCCAAGTAATAGCTTTTATAACCTTTTACTCATGTGCAAGTTTATTGTTCTACAATATTGTATTACTACTACTATTATAACTTATATTACTACTACCACTAGTATTACACGTCACTCTGAGCCTATATATACCCTCTGTGTCCATGTCTTGTTTGTAACTGTTTGATAAAGCTCTCAGAGCGAAACATTGCCACAATAAAATGTCACATTAGTTGCACTTTTGTCCTTTTACTTTACATATTGTCAGTTATTTTACCAACATTAATACAAGAAAATAATTGAAGAAATTAAAGTGAAAATGAATCCATCTCAACAGTGATTTATGTGTGAGTAAGGTGAAAGATTTGAATGATGATGAAAGTATTTTCTTTTTGGGAATTTTCTTTTTTGGGTCACCCTGCCTCGGTGAGAGACGGCCGACTTGTTATAATAATAAAAAAAAAAAAAAAAAAAAAAAAATATCAACGGTAGTTGGTAAAACGACAACTCTGAAAACTTGCATTTCATTACATACATAAATGTATGTGAATCATTATGACAACAGTACTAAAACAAAGTAATTAATTTCCAAAGATATTATTTTAGTTTTATAGGTAGTAGGTTGGTAGACAGCAACCGCCCAGGAAGGTACTACCGTCCTGCCAAGTGAGTGTAAAACGAAAGCCTGTAATTGTTTTACATGATGGTAGGATTGCTGGTGTCCATTTTTCTGTCTCATAAACATGCAAGGTTTCAGGCACATCTTGCTACTTCTACTTACACTTAGGTCACACTACACATACATGTACAAGCATATATATACACACCCCTCTGGGTTTTCTCCTATTTTCTTACTAGTTCTTGTTCTTGTTTATTTCCTCTTACCTCCATGGAGAAGTGGAACAGAATTCTTCCTTCGTAAGCCATGCGTGTTGTAAGAGGCAACTAAAATACCAGAAGCAAGGGTCTAGTAACCCCTTCTCCTGTATATATTACTAAATGTAAAAGGAGAAGCTTGTGTTTTTCCTTTCGGGCCACCCCGCCTCTGTGGGATACGGCCGGTGTGTTGACAAAGATTATTTTAGTTTATTTCTCTTGTAATCTTTAAAAAATTACACATCAGCTTATGCTAACTTATTAATAAAGTTACTAATGTTGGCTTTTCCAATGTTTTCTCTCACAATATTTATTAAGAAACAGTGAAAAATACTGGAGGACATCTGTTGAAAATTAAACTAAAAATCCATTACCAATGTGAGAAAGGATGACAAAGCCTTGAGGTAGTGGGTGATGATGCAAGCTACACCAGTCACAAGCACTTCTCTATGTCTTGTGTATGTTACCTAATGCCTTTATAGCTAAGAAACAACACAATACAAGGAAAACACTAACACTCCCTTCACCTGACTTCACTTCTGGCCTGATAATGATCCAGAACAGACCAAAATGTTGACTCGTTTCAACTCATTAGTTGATTAATTGTGAATTCTTGACATATTTGCAATTGAGCAGTTAGTGCTTATTTGTAATGTACTGTATGACAAACACAATACACGTTCTTTACGACAGTTCAAATCTTAACTTCTCTAATGTACTATTACACTACCTCTAACTTCCCACAACAGAATTAATACCGTAATAAAAAAGCAATTCTCATTGTCTCACAACTCGTCCTCAAAGCGGTCAAGATTATGAAGGTGGTCACCATAGTCTGTGGCTTCAGAACCTACGAACACGTCATGATGATCGAGGATCTCCAGGAATGACAGCAAGTCATCTCCATCATCGTCTGCAGCTCCAAACAAATGGTCTACTTCATCCTCAGCAATGTCCCTGGTGACAAACAAACCTACTTAGTCACTATGACTAATTATATGCTAATAACACAATTAAGAAATACAAAACAGTTAATATCTACTCACACAGAAGTACCAATATTTTGTAATTAAAATACATTAGCCAACATGTTAAAAAAAAAAAAAAATTCTTACTAATGTGAAGTGACAAACCTGTGACTGGTTATAAGAATTTTTCTACCTAAACAATGAAGTCACTATTTTTTTTTTTCAACAAACCAGCCATATCCCACCGAGGCAGACTGACCTAATAAACAAACAACTTACGTTTCTCTTTTCAAATTTAGTAATGTATACAGGAGAAGGGGGTTACTAGCCCCTTGCTCCCAGCATTCTAGTCACCTCTTATGACGCACACAGCTTACGGAGGAAGAATCTTGAACCACTTCCCCATGAAGAGTCACTAATATGAACTTTAATGTCCTATGACATATTCCTTAGAGCAAGTTATTACTACCAACCGAAAGTGATTATTCATTCAGTATCCAAATATATTCACAAGATTCAAGAAATAAGAAGGAAGCACAAAAATTAATGATACACATGCAATAAGTGCAATACGTAAAAAGCCTACTCATTTGTTGGGACGACCCAGGCCAGGATTTCATTGCGATCCAGGATGCCATTACCATCCTTGTCGTGCTCATGGTCGAACTTGTCCTTCTCTGTCAGTAACCACTCACGGTCTTGCTCCTTCCCTGTTGACCACCACCAGTTTTATTAACAAGACACGCAAACACACAAAGCTAGTATATTGTGAGAAGGATCAAATAATATATAAGCCTGATGCAATATCCATTAATACAACACAACACGTAGTTACCTCACATGCAAAGTAATGGTGCAGAACATAATTCAGAAGAAAAAAAGATGTTTACCTTTTCCCAAAGCAAGTATTCAGTCCTACAATTCAGGTTACATTAACCAGCATATCTATATTAATGAACCTCAATGTAAGAAATATTTTAAAGAATTTGTGAACAATTTATGCATACAGCAGTGCTTCAATATTCATGTAAAATTACATTCCTAGAGAACACTGCAAATGCCAAATTCATGAATACCATTTGTGAATAGTGTCATAATACAATGTCTAATATAAAAAAAAATTAAACAGATAAATGATGGACGATGATTACAAGCTGGACCCATTGCTTACTACCATAACCCCATATGTTGTAACCACCACCTTCCTTCCTCTTTCATTAACATTCTCCTTCCACCTGTTAGCACTTTTGTTATATCAACACCTCACCTATTCCACTCTCTCTCCATAAAGCTTATCTAATTTGAGTTGCTATTCACATTATTTTTATATTAAAATGTTACTAAACCCATATGAGTTATCTAACATTGATTTCTATTAACTGATAAAGAGGTAACCGATGTATGAATAAGAGATACAAAAAAATATGTAATGGCTACAATAACTTAAAAAAAAAAAAATACTTCTAACACATTTATTTAGCCAAGTATAAGATCTGCCAAGAAGTCTTAAAAACTAAATTATGCTAATTAGTAAACTAGAAAGAATATTCAGATAATTTAAAAATCATGGTACATTTTCCAAGCATTTCTTTCTGTTAAAGCACAACAGCTCCTTGAAAGATTAAGAAATATTTTTTGGAAATTCAGATTTTCAATTCTTTAAATGGTTTTACTTAAGTGAATCATGTGTGTGAAATTTTGTTAAACAGTAGGATGTTGTTATATCTTCAAAGACTAAATAAACGTTACCAGGCGATTCATAACAAAAATCTGCACAAGATGCTGATGGGATGATTAACATTTTTGTCACAGAATATTGGAGAAATTGTAGTTTTTAATAGATACAACATACAAAAATAATATTTCAAAATACATAAAAATATGAGAAAGAAAGGTGGTTGAATATGTGCATTATAAGCAAGCAAAAGGTCCATCTTGTGAACAAATACACAGCAAAGGATAGGAACATATCAGGTTGAAAATTCTGGAACACTTGAAACGAAGTAAAAAAAAAAATATGATGTAGGTAATAATACTGTCGCTGGATCAATTCACAAGTAACCCACATTTAGAAAAGGAAAACTTTTAGGCAACAATTCTATTAATATTGAATTGGTCCAGGACAGACTGAATCAACATCTAAGATTTCGTGTCCACAGCAGGATTTTACAACTCTGATGCAATAATGGTGAACTCTTAATCTGACAGGCTAATAGGGAAAAGGGTGTATCCACTAAAGCTGATTGTTCTTTAAATCAAAACAATGAAAATGATTTTCCATCAAAACAATAATGGACAATTCTGATTTAATGGACTTTGTACATTAACTCTGAAATCAATTTACCCTGACAACAAAAACAAACAGTTCCCAAAATTATCTGGCTTTAGATTTTATCGATTAATTCTGAAATCTGTTACACTGAGGTCTGTTATATTGAACTTTTACTATACTATGTGAATTTTTTTTTTTTTTTTTTTTCAACAAGTCGGCCGTCTCCCACCGAGGCAGGGTGACCCAAAAAAGAAAGAAAATCCCCAAAAAGAAAATACTTTCATCATCATTCAACACTTTCACCACACTCGCACATTATCACTGTTTTTGCAGAGGCGCCCAGAATACAACAGTCTAGAAGCATACACTATGTGAATAAAGTTACTAAATCAATGTTAAACAATATAAGTTTGTAAACTTGCAGGACGAGTCATATTTGTTATCAACAGTATCAGATATCAATGGTATTTCCAGCTACTGTTAGTTAGACCCTACCACCACACCACCGAATGTGAATGTTCCCATCGCCACCTGTTAGAGGCCACCACCAGCCACATACATTAAGCCACCAACTAGCATCAGTACCCCATGCATTTAAAGTATCCAAGTAATTTATGAAAAGTAGCTCCAAGCCTTTTCTTGTCCATTATGTAAGCATGCTACTTCCAGTACTTGCCACGCAAAATATTTAAACTTTGGTAAATGCTTACTTGACAACATATGCCAGTGGCCCTATTTCTTCTCTCTCTCTAAAACCCCAGACTTATTAATATCCATCTCCTTAAATTTGGGTCTGTGTTTTCCTACAAATTCTCGGCCGGTTATCCCATCGTCCACATCTTCATATTCTGCAAATTGGTCCCACTTATAATGCCTCTTATATGCAAGGTAAAAATATGCAAGAATCTTGCACAAGTCTTTCTATAAGAGTGCCATGGGAGTCACCAAATATCTACATTATGTTGCCATTATTGCACTGTAAATCAATTCCATTTTAAATTCAAATAATAAAGAGGAAACTGGACCACCACTTGAAGTAGGTGCCTGATCAACCAAGTTGCACTGATTATGTAGGCCTGTATGTCACTAGTAGCAACAACCTGGTTGGTCAGGCAGTCTACACTGCAGTCTGGCCTCAGGCTAGGGTGCAAGGGAAGAACCCTTAAAACCAGCCACAGTTACATCACAGGTATGGATACATTTGCAGTCTTTAAATTTGTTCTTAATGAAATTAGGAACAAATGTTGTCTCTGATAAGATTTTTAATAGGTTCTGCTTCTCTAATCAATTCACAATGTCCACTCCCATCCAAACAGTAGTCAACCCATTCAACAGTTTGACCTGCAATCACTTTGTGGCTGCAAACTGTGATTTTGACCTTGGAGAAACACATGGTGACCTCTCCAAGGTTTCATAGTAATCCACCCAAATCTGAGGCACTAGTTATGCCAGCAAGTGTTGGATTAATGTAGAAACAAACAAGAGCCAGTTGGGTAGGTAAGAACATCCCAAAACTAAAACTGGTTACGTGGTTAAAAAGGAAAATATCTGCTAAATGTAATCTTTTAATATTCAGTACAAACTCAGATTACTGCCTAACACCACATCCTTCTGAAGACCTCAAGTGCAGTCAAAAATTAATGAAAAATTTTTACTTGTCACTTTCTGATTTATAATGACCCTCCACCTCTTGTAAAATACAGTTGAACGTTGGATACCACAGTTATATTCCTGAAAACGATGTGATATCAACAATGTGTGTAAACTGAACTGAAGAACGTATGGAAAAAATAGGGTTACGTTTATTAGACTCTCCAAAAAAGTCAAACATCTTGAGATTGTTAGAAATACGTAGTGAAAATAATGTAGTTGTAGGTCAATGCGGTGATGTGCATCAAAGATCCTACATCTACATCTCTGCTAGCAGACATGGGTGTCTTAGTGTTAGGTTGTCCTGCTTTTTGCACCTGTATGAGGGTATATAAAGGTGGGGTTCAAGTAGTTGGGGTGTACATGAGAAGGGGTAGGCAGGAGGGGTAGGAGTGGTTGGAGTGAGGGGCTCTGTATGGTGATGGGAGACTAAACAGTGGATGGGTGGAGGCAGGAACTGGAGGCTGGTGTTGGGAGGTGAAGGATGCTGACTGATGGAAGGGTGGGAAAGGTGAAGGCTGGAAGCAACAAGGTGATGTGATGGTGACCATGTGGGTGGCAGTGTTTGTGGCTTGGTGTGGATGATGGGTGACTGGGAGGGTGGATGGCATGATAGACTGTGCAGGCGTGTTCATTGAAAACATGCCTCAATTTTACAACTGTGTTAGTGAAAACATGTTAATAGATTGGCATTATCCGATGGTATACTGTACCCAAAGTTCTTGACTGTACTCAAAAAATACGCACATCAAAAGAGAAAGATACTGAGAAACATGAATAATTAGCCAATATTGAAACCTATTCTCAATTTGTAATGTTGAATGTTGGCATTTTACTTGAAGTCAACCATTTCACATTATCCTAATTTTCTCCAAATTGTATTTTCCTGATTTTAAGTTATATTAAGTTAATCTAAGTTAGATCAGGTTGGGTTAATAAAAATCACAAACCAATAAAAATATTTTTTTGTTTTTTTTATTATCACACTGGCCGATTCCCACCAAGGCAGGGTGGCCCGAAAAAGAAAAACTTTCACCATCATTCACTCCATCACTGTCTTGCCAGAAGGGTGCTTTACACTAGTTTTTAAACTGCAACATTAACACCCCTCCTTCAGAGTGCAGGCACTGTACTTCCCATCTCCAGGACTCAAGTCCGGCCTGCCGGTTTCCCTGAACCCCTTCATAAATGTTACTTTGCTCACACTCCAACAGCACGTCAAGTATTAAAAACCATTTGTCTCCATTCACTCCTATCAAACACACTCACGCATGCCTGCTGGAAGTCCAAGCCCCTCGCACACAAAACCTCCTTTACCCCCTCCCTCCAACCTTTCCTAGGCCGACCCCTACCCCGCCTTCCTTCTACTACAGACTGATACACTCTTGAAGTTATTCTGTTTCGCTCCATTCTCTCCACATGTCCGAACCACCTCAACAACCCTTCCTCAGCCCTCTGGACAACAGTTTTGGTAATCCCGCACCTCCTCCTAACTTCCAAACTACGAATTCTCTGCATTATATTCACACAACACATTGCTCTCAGACATGACATCTCCACTGCCTCCAGCCTTCTCCTCGCTGCAACATTCATCACCCATGCTTCACACCCATATAAGAGCGTTGGTAAAACTATACTCTCATACATTCCCCTCTTTGCCTCCAAGGACAGAGTTCTTTGTCTCCACAGACTCCTAAGTGCACCACTCACCCTATTCCCCTCATCAATTCTATGATTCACTTCATCTTTCATAGACCCATCCGCTGACATGTCCACTCCCAAATATCT